ATTCCTATATTAGAATACAGGATTCACAACATAATGCTTTCATATACTATATGCAACAATATTCTATCTAAATATCTTACAGTAGCTAAGCACAAATTTCATCTTGCAAGATTAATTCTGAATAGTACTATATTAAATTCATATCTATACAATATCTACAACATATGGGACATTTAACTACAATATCATACAACTAACTTTCTTCAACATCTAAACAGTCTCCATCTCTTAGAAACTACTACTTGTATTAGACTACAACAATTACAAAATAATCTGTGATCAACTATCATTATACTTCAGTACCCATAACCAATGATAGATGGTCTAAATAGACACTTATAAAACCTCAAAATTATCTAGCTTTTAAACATCTTAATATATCTATCACAGCAAACTCTAATATTCTATAGCCCAATACAATTTAATATAATCTACAACCATTAGAAAAAATAATTATCAATAATTCTAAATATATTACTTTTAAATACCAACTCAAAAATACAAAATTACTTTACCTCGAACAACTATACACAGCAGATAATACTACTCTTTTGGAATGGAAACATCTATTCCCTAGACTTTTACATCTACCCAAAGGCCAAGAACCACTATGGTTTCAAACATTTGAAAACATAGTTCTTGAAAATAAACATCAGCACTCTTTACTGATACAATACCAACAACAAGGCATTAATATTTTTGCTTATTCCTTAAACCGTAATACGGGCAAATTTGCTTGCTAAAAATTTTTTTAAATTGTTTTTGTATAATTGCTTCTAATTTTTCTAAGCTTCACCTCCTTTACTAAGCTCAAATAGGGTCTAGAATGGGCCGGGCTAAACCCAGAAATTTGTAGGTCTGGCCGGGTTTGAGCTCAGGTCGGGTCTATATTTTTGAGCCTATTAATATTTGGGCCGGGCTTGGGTCAGGCTCGCTAAAATTCTGGGCTTGGTTTGGGCCTTGTAAAAAAGCCTATACAGACCTAATAATATCTAGTAACCTTCTAGTAAATATTACTACCAATTTGTTTATAATCCAAAACCTAGTAACTCATTAACATAAAATCCTTTTACTGCTACTGCAGCTACAGAACCTAACTTCTCACAAAAGGTTTCTGCACTGCTACTGCAGCTATTGAAGCCTAATTCCTCATTAATTTAAAGTTATTCAGCTACTATCGCAACAAAATCTAATTATTAATACAAGGTTTTTATACTTTTATTGCAGCTACCGAGTCTAATTTTGATGTAAAATCATTTAAATTTTCTATAATATAAGGTCTTTGCACTACTACTATAGATATAGTGTCTAATTTTTTACATAAACTCGGTTTACTGCTGCTACTACAAGCAAGTGGGCTAATCTCTAACATAAAGTTTTGCACTGCTAATATAGCTCAGATAGCTAATTTTCAACAATGTCTTTGTGTTGTTACTGCTATTGCAGAGTCTAATCTTCACTAATATAAGGTCCTGGCACTACAATTACATCACCTAATATTTATATAAAATCATTGCAATGCTACTGTGGCTATAATGCATGATATCTACATGAAACTATTATATTGCAACTACGATTATGAAGTCAAATCCTCTCTAACATGAGATTTATGTATTGCTACAACTGCCACGGTCTCTAGTTTTTATATAGGATCTTTATCTTACTTCTGTGAAGCCTATTTTTTTTTTTTTGCTGTACTATAACTGCAAAGCTAAAATTTGCTCTAATATAAGGTCCTTGCACTGCTACTACAGCTGCAGAGCCTAACTTTTCACATAAAATCTTTGCACTGCTACTGCCACTGTGGGCTAATTTTATTAATATACAATCCTTGCACTGCTACTATAGCAGTGAAGTCTAATTTTTCATATAAAGTTCTTGTACTGTGTGGAAAGTAAATTTACTTTCAATCAAACTATGATTAGAGTTACGATCTAGTATTACATAACATTGTGAAATCAATTCACGATTGAGATCAAATATTGAAGCCCTGCTACACTAAAGAATAGAAATACTATTATTATCTGTTCAAAGAAACAAAAGAAATAATAGCAATATAAAAAACTACTTATCTTAAAAAGACAATTTATATATCCAATAACTGTTGCAGTATCAAGAATGCCCAAACTCAAACCAATTTATTTCATGCTTCTTTCATAGCCTTCCTTTTGGAATTCTAATAATTATCTAGCTTCTTATATAAATAAGTTTTAGTATCTATATTCAAATTGCCTTTACATTATTATGAACCTTGATTAAAATATAAGTTAGCAATTAATGATTGATGAAATATAGTAAACAATGTGGAGTTTAAAACCTAGCCGAGCAAAGCCAAGCCAAAATATAAAAAATATAACTTCAAGCAAAGCCAAGACTATGAAAAAAAAACAAATAGAATACCATCTTAATATATATTTTTTGATTTCAATTAATCATGTATTATCAAATTGTTAGTGTCTGTTAATACCATATACTGTTATTAGTTGAAGTCGCCATATGATCATGTACTAATTCTATTTTATTAGAAATAAATAAACTTAATCTCATAATTATAATTAAGTAAAAACATTATATTATACTAATCGATAATGCATATGATAGAATTTGGTAGCGAAGCCGTCACATGTGTAAGTTCTAGTTAATAAAAAAACATTGTGACGTAAAATTTTTATAAGATATGCTAAATAGTTTATTATGGACCGGGCTTAGTTTAAAATCAAAACCTGATCTGGCCTGCACTTATGGGCTTTTTTTTTTTAACGGGCCAGGCTCAGGCCTATAAATTTTTATCGGGTTTAGTTTTGGGTCCATACAAGCCCGGCCTGACCTGTCCCATTCTGCTCCCTAAGCTCAAATGAAAGTCTAACACATGATCGATTGACTATAATTTTCGTTTCACAGTACCTTCTATATGTATGATGCAAGGCCGATCTAAAGATAATATATATATATAAGTAATTTAATAACAAATACATAATCAATGCCAAATACAAAAAAAAAAATCTTTTATACTTCATTAATGTCGCTTAAGTCAAAAAAGAAAAATATGTCGTCTTAATATTTACTGTTTTCAAGTTCGTCAACTTCGGGCTCATCATCTTGGAGTTTATTGACTTTGGGCTTATTATCTTTGAGTTCGTTGACTTTGGGCTCATCATCTTTGAGTTTGTCGTTTTTGTCTTCTTCTGAAAGTGCAGATACAGATGATGATGAATACTTACCGATTTTGACATTCCGTCAATATGCTTTGGAAGATCCGGAGTCTGATAATGAATATAAAGCAGAAATAGACACAGGAAGTACTTGCAAAAGAAAACGTAAAGCAACAGAACCCATACAACTTTTGGTACTACTATCTAATTTTGAGCTGCTTGTTCATTCAAGTCTACTGCGTAAGGCAAATGTTAGGTTGTCACTGCATTTTGATATTGGTGTCTTCAAGCTGATTGATTTTTTTTTT